CACTTGAACCGAAGTGTTACCATACAACGACTGCGACGATGACGACGACGATGACGACGACGATGACGACGATGATGGAGACAAATCTACCACAGGTCGGCTGGAGACAAACGCCCACAAAAGATACCAGGTGGAGTTCACTACCCGCGCGAGTTCAGACGTGGCGCTGACAGGAGAAGAAGGAGGAAGAGGAGGATGAGGAAACCTGATTGTATCGAGGACCCGTCCGAAGGCAATTTTTGGAGGATATCTCGTGCGAAACGATTTGTTTTAAACAAAACTGTTGAACACCCATGGTTTTTCGAATATTTTCGCCTTCGAGGACCCGTCCGAAAACAATTTTTCGAGGATGGCTCGAGCGAAGCGCTCGTTGTTTAACAACTGTTAAAAACCCAACGCGTGTTTTCAATAATTTCGCTTCTTGGGCCATCTTGAAGGTCAGAGATCGCCCCGAAAAGATGCCTTACACGAGCTCGTTCGGCATTTTTTCCTGAGGATGTCTCAGGCGAAACGGCCATTTTCGAGGATCCGAAAATTAGGCGAGCGATTTCAAGATCTCCATTCTTGGAGGATGTCTCGGGCGAAATCGTCATTTTTGACATAAGCCGTCTTAAGCGAGAACCCCCAAGATCCCGATTTTGTGAGGATGTCTCGAGCGAAATGTTTTTTTGCACAACTATTGAAAACCAATGGGTTTTTCAACAATTTCGCTTTCGAGGACCCGTCCGAAGGCAATTTTTGGAGGATGTCTCGATCGAAACGTTTCGAGTTTAACAACACTGTTAAGATCCCATGGGTTTTCCAATAATTTCGCTTCTTGGGCCATCTTGGAGGTCATCCGAGAACGCTCTGAAAAGATGCCTTACAAGAGCTTTTGGCGCATTCCATTTTTCGAGGACGTCTCAGGCGAAACGACCATTTTCGAGGATCCGAAAATTAGGCGAGCGATTTCAAGATCTCCATTCTTGGAGGATATCTCAGGCGAATCGTCATTTTTGACATAACACGTCTTAAGCGACATCCCCCAATATCACGATTTGGCGAGGATGTCTCTAGCGAAACGTTCGTTTTTCAAACATTTCCTGACATGAGCAGCGGGAAGTGCGTAAACGAGAAAAGCTGTGCAAGAACGTGCAGCATCACGACGATGAACCGTAATGTGGGCGAGCTCCTCGAACGTCCACAGGGGATGCCTACGGATGTGCGCTCCCCGAATGTTGACAACCCTGTTCCTGAGTGTCCTACGAACGTACGGCGTGGCGTTTTGAACTGGCGCCGCCGTTTGAACCGAACGGTTACCATACGACGACGGCGACGACGATCTCGACGACGACGATGACGACGATGACGATGATGGAGACAAATATACCACAGGTCGGCTGGAGACAACGCCCACAAAAGATACCAGGTGGAGTTCACTACCCGCGCGAGTACAGACGTTGCGCTGACAGGAGAAGAAGGAGGAAGAGGGGGAGGAAACCTGATTGTACCGAAGACCCTTCCGACTGCATTTTTTGGAGGATGTCTCGAGCGAAACGTTTTGTTTTTAACAAACTGTTGAAAAAAAACATGGTTTTTCAATAATTAGGCCTTCGAGGGCCCGTCCGAAAGGAATTTTTAGAGGATGTCTCGAGCGAGACGCTTTGATTTTAACAACACTTAAGAAATCCATTGATTTTTCAATGCTTTTGCTTTTTGGGCTATCTTGAAAGTCATCCGAGAACGCTCCGAATAGATGCCTTACACGAGCTTTTGGCGCATCCCATTTTTTCGAGAATGTCTCAGGCGAAACGCGCATTTTCGAGGGTCCGAAAATTGGGCGGGCGATTTCAAGATCTCCATTCTTGGAGGATGTCTCAGGCGAAATCGTCATGTTTGACATAACACGTCGTAAGCGACATCCCCCACTATCACGATTTGGCGAGGATGTCTCGAGCGAAACGTTCGTTTTTCAAACATTTCCTGACATGAGCGGGAAGCGCGTAAAAGAGAAGAGCTGTGCAAGGAACGTGCAGCATCATCACGATGAACCGTAATGTGGGCGAGGTCCCCGAACGTCGACAGGGGGTACCCATGGACGCGCGCTCCCCGAACGTTGACAACCCTGTTCCAGAGTATCACACGAAAATCTTCTCTACGGCGTCGCCCTTTGGACCGAACCGTTTCCATACGACGACGGCGACGACGATGACGACGACGATGACGACGATGATGGAGACAAACCTACCAAAGGTCGGCTGGAGACAACGCACACTAAAAATACCCATGTGGCTCGGCGGCGCCGTCTTGAAGCCGAACGGTTGCGGCAATTTGCGGTGCTCGTCATCCTTCCACGCCGCCTTGTACGGCTCGTCAAGCTCGGGGGGGATCGGGTCCGTATGCCCAGTGATAACGTCGATGTAGTGGACAAGCGGGTTTTGGTTGTCCCCGACGTCGTTGGTGAGCTCGAGAAATGGTTCTAGCTCGCCCTTCGGCAGCGCGGCCGTCACCGTGGGCTTGGGCAGAGGGCGGCAGAACCAACCCTCGGTCGCCGCCTTGAGGTCCTCGTACGCGGGCATGGCACGGTCTTGAACGGCGCTGTGGGGTTGCCAGAAGGCGCGCGCTCGGCGATGCGATTGAGCCCAAACAGCTGCGAGTTGGATGACGTCGCAGAAAACGGACGCAACTGAGCGGCTTCCTGGCCAGGGGCTCTCGGGGCACCGCAATCCAACGTGGGGCAGTTATTGTCTGGCATTGTTTTGCAATCGGCAATGTTAGGGGCGCGAGCGGCTGCGGGGAACTGACAAGTGAGAACGTTCAAAACTACGGTTGCGCAGGCCGCGCCCACGCCTCGCTGCAGGCGGCGGCGCAAACCGCGGAGACCGAAACTTGGGCCCACGTGCGTGCGGTGGCTCGGCTGCACGCCGCCCATGTCAACGACCACTGTGCGGTGTGGGGGTAGGCCGAGCGACTGCTGCACGATCCATTCCATCCTGCTCCACGTGGTGGACCACTCGACCCCCGCCGTGTCGTGCCAGCGCGGGTAGTCGGTGGAGGTGAGCGCCGTGGTGCACGTGCGGTCGCGGTCATCGTGGTGGATGCATTCCGCCGCCACTGCGAAGCAGCGGTGTTCGCGGACAACTTGTCCTGGGGCCAACCGAAAAGACACTGCTCTCCGCCCCAATGCGAAGTTGGGCGGTTGGGGGTTCAATGATTAAAAAAACAAATAGCACCACCAATGTATACGCGACAAAACCAACGCTGGGTTCCCCCCGCCCCTGTCCTCGCCCGCGGCCAAGCGCTGAGCCTGCGCGGGCCCAACGTTGCGCCGCGCTGATTCGGGCGGCATGGGGCTGCCAGGCGCGACGTTCTGGATGAAGGCGTAGTCGAAAGCCATGGCTTGAGATTTGCTGCGGGCTGGTGGCTGGGCGGGAGTGACAGGTCACTCTGAAGGGGCCCGGATGCACTCGCGGCGACGGAGGGCGGGGGTGGGTGGGCGAGCGGGCGGGCGGTGGCAAGACTGGCGACGACGTCTACGTGGCGACGACGGCAACGACTAGGCCCCATCACATCCACATGAGAACAGTCGGGTGTTGTCCGCCTCCTCATTCCCCACAAGCCACAGCACAACTGTTTTTTCGCTAGTCTTGGCGTCATGAAGCACATCGAAACCACTATGCGTTTCTGCGCACCTTTCGCTTGGGCGCGCTCGCCATGCTGGCCCAGCATGCTGCGGCGCAGAACGCATTCCAAAGTTAAAACGCCGCCCCCAGTGCAGGCAAGAGTACCCCCCCCCCCCACACACACACACACGCACGCGCACACGCACACGCACACGCACACGCACACGCACACGCACACGCGCACACGCACGCGCACGCGCACGCGCACGCGCACGCGCACGCGCACGCGCACGCGCACGCGCACGCGCACGCGCACGCGCACGCGCACGCGCACGCGCACGCGCACGCGCACGCGCACGCGCACGCGCACGCGCACGCGCACGCGCACGCGCACGCGCACGCGCACGCGCACGCGCACGCGCACGCGCACGCGCACGCGCACGCGCACGC